ATTCAGCAAGGACCACGCCTGCATGGCCAAGCCATGCCGTACGACCAACTTCAATTAATTCAATTCATTCTTCCCTCCCTTTTCATCGTTGTGTTTTTCTCTGTGTTAAATACTGGATGCCTATTTCCCACAGTGTGTCGTATTAGGGCCCACTGTCACTACAAGCTTACAGGTGGAAGATGCATTAGTGACAATAACCAGCTGAATGTGACATATATCCTCTGTACATCAATCACCAAGTGCCATGTTTCTTAAATCCAAAATTTAAAATAACTGTGTTCCAATTTTTTTGAAACTTCTGTCCTACATTTTCTTCAGTCATTTGACTAGTCTAATGTTAAGGACCTAATGGAATCAGTAACCTCCTTTTTACGAAGTGTGACGATGTTGTGTCATTTATCCAAGAGCATCTTTAAGAAATGCTTGTCAAGGAATTTCATATCGAAAATGTGGAGAAAGATAAAGATGATCTCCACACGTAAGAAAGTATCGAACAATAGGAATATAAAGTTTAGATCCATAGCAACAACTTTACCTCTTTTCAAATCGATGAAAAAAACATTTCTACTCCCAATTCAATCTGGGTTATAAGGGCTAGTTGGTCCACTTCAGTTTGCTTACAGTTGCGAAAGAAATACCTTATATACTGCTGTCATCCTTGATCACGTTATAGTGTTCAGCTTAAAAAAGACAAAATATATGTTCGATGCGCTTTTCTAAATTATGCTCTTGCTTTTGACCCTGCTCTAAGACAACTATATCCCAACAAGTTTGTCAGCATCAAAACCGACAGCTGGATAAATAAGTGGCTAGTTTCGATCATCCCTGGAAAAGAACATAACACTGTCTTTGACGGCAAATCTTTATAGTCTCTGGTGACTCATAAAAGTGCATCACTGTTCTTTCTCCTCTTCTATCCTCTTTTTCTACATGAATAGCCACCTTTCACAGAAAATACTTTCGTTATTCATTTGTGTGCTCCAATATCCACCTATTCACATCCCCTTGAAATGAAAGAGTTCTTGCCTCTCATTGAAGGACGATATGTTGTTAATGGTCCCATACTTAATCTTCCTAAATATCACACTGTTAACTTTAGCATAAGATATGAACAACACTTACACACCCCGTTAGAATCCCATTCACCATTCTAAATTCTGTTATAGGAAGTTTCAAAAGTCAATTATCACTGTGTGAGTTTTTGTTACGGTATCTCCTGGAATTCTCATGTTATATTGACATCGAAAAAAGATTTCTGTTGTACCTACAGTGTAAAAACTTCAAGTGTTTCTCTCATTAACTGATGTTTTTACGACTTGTTATCTCTGATATTTTACCTATAGTTCCTAACTGTTCTCAGTTATTGTTTCCTGTGCTGTGCTGGATTGCAGAGCTTGTTTAAGGCAGTTAGTAGGGTTCAGGGTGAATCTTTTGAGGTCGTTATTAATATGGTTGTGGACAGACATTTGAATTCTTGCAAACTCCTGTCAAGTATTGTCCTATAACATTGGAGGTGCCACAGGTATTCAGAGTTTGACAACGCTTTAACCAGTAACGCCTTATAATATGAAGCGTACCCACCAAGTGAAATCAAAAGACAGATGCGTAGAAGTTCGAAGATATATTTGATAAGCTATCAATATATCGAAGATCGTCTGATCTTATCTGGCAAACGATTGCAGGGGTTGTTGAGCACGGCGTTCCCACTCGTGATCTGTTGCGGATGCATGACCGATCGCCTTCAGATAGGTGAATCCATTAAAATTTGTGGTCAGCATCCAATGTCGAAGACTTACAGAGCTATTTATTTTGGGGATTTATTTACCGCTACAACATACTAGCCATTCTACTTACTCATACGTTTCTACTTGTATATCTTCTATAAAATCGAGGTGGCAATATATAACAATTCATGAACGTAGGCAAAGATCTAAAAGTTCTACGGTACATTATCTCGGAAATGCACCATGCAAAAAACTGGTTGTTAGGGTTGACCTATTTAAAAATTGTACTGTCAGCCATTTTTCCAATCAAAAGTTGTACAGACTCTAATATTATTTTTCAAAAGTCCACTTAACTGTAGATAGTTTAGTAACTTCATTTCGGCATATATGTAAGCAGTTGTCAGATTTTTGCTTTTTCCTTTCGTAAAAAACCATATTGTAATAAATATATAGCATTTATTAAAGCCGTTGACAATGGTAATATACACTGCTAACTGTAAAACATTAAAAATTATCACGTTGAAAGAGTTTCACATTATAGTTTTCTACGGAACATTTTCCTATTACCTGTATGCGATTGTATTACTACTACTGATTATCGATATTTTTTACCGATGTTTTTTCAAACTGGCGGTTTCAGGAAGCAAATCACGTGTGTATCTCTCCTCTATATACATCCAAATTCTGAGCTCCCGAAGTTATCATATCTAGTAGGGTATGGTAAATTGAACCGTAGTACCTACGAGCCAGGTTCTACGTTGCTCTTGATTGACTGAGTAGTTGACTGATCAAAGAGGATCCCGCTTTAGTCCGAAATTTAACATCGAATTCTCAACATTCTGCGGTAGTTAATTGTTTTAATTCTTTGCAAAGAATCTCATTGAAACACTCATAACAAAACGCAGTCTTTGGAGCACTGTGGATCGACAGGATGTTATAAGTGGTTGAAACCCCTATCTCTTACACTAAAGATTGATAACCACTTGGATGATCTTCCCCTGATGCTATTGCAAGACGTAGTATTAGTAGCTGACTGAATGTCCTCAGTTAGCATAAAAACCAGTTAAATCAAGATTGTCAGAATCAACCTCGAGTGCTTTGAGCCATTTAATTCAAGGAAAATATGTACTGCAGCAAAACTGTTGGACTCACTCTTTTGGGTGTATACAGTACTTATTTTTACATCTAGTTTGATAAAGAATTAGAACTTTCTTTCGATGTACAGATGGAAAAATGAAGAAGTTCGAGGGTTTATAATTGCTCACCACAAGAATTTCACATATCGTTCCCGCTAGATACATTGTATTTTGTACAAAAGCGCACACTACCGGTTGTGCGTTACTCATGTCCGAAGGGATAATCACCGGTAGTGTGCATAGTATTTGCTCTGTGATCGATGAATATACTGCTTGCCGCGATGTAAAGAATTTAGAAAGACAATTCACTTTGTTATACCAGTGCATACAAGACAGCGACCTACCTTATGTGGTCCAGTGGATGTGTAACTGGCTAGGAAAACTTTGTTTGTTAGGTGACGGTAGTTTAGTTCTCATATTTGAACAAAGTCTACTTGAAATATCCGTTTCATTTGACTGTGATCAGTGCGTTCTTCTTCTTCAGAGTTGCCTTAATACCTTCAGTAATGTGGGATATTTTACTCGAATTCTTAAAGCTTTATCTGTTTGTGCTATTAAAATCGAATTAAAATACTTTGGCCGAATCAAGGAATCCTTTAATTCATGTGAGGATGCAGTAAAAAAATTTGCCGACAAAGATTTATTCTGTGCACTTCATGCATCTGCTGACTTATTTAGAAATTTAATTTCGCCAACTTCAGTTAAGCTGTTAAATTCTGCAGATAAGTGTTTTTTACGGCGTCATACTTTGTACATGATTTCTATGTTACTGTACATTGATTCTAAAGACAAAGAAGAGCTACTTGTTCTTTTTGTGAAGAATCTTTCGAATGTATGTGAAGGATTGTACACGTTTTATTTATCATGTCGTAGATTACTTCTCACATCGCCGGATACAGTTCTATACGGAAAAACAGCTGCTTCCTTTATGGTACCAAGTTGGATCCAGTTACTGCACTACTTCTTTACTAGTCATACATATGAACTGTACAAATTTTGGCCATTAGTTTTTACTCATGAGTACTGGATCGACTTAATCTGTCCTTTTGTATATTTCTTGCTCGATGGATCCGGGCATAATCCGCGGTTTAAAAATTGTAAAGTTGGTTTTATGGACTCTAGCGAACAAAAAGTTCACCCTGACAGATACTCCAGGTTAAGACAATTCTCCGTGGATTTTATTGAAAGCCTTTTTAAAAGATACCATTGTTCTCTTCAATTTGCTTGGTGGGATCCTCATCGGTTTAAGTTGTTAGAGTATCTAGAAGTTGTTGCTACCGAACCAGTATCTGATGAAACTCTTCCAAATCATATTACCCAAGCAATCGGTTGTATTGAGCAAATAGTCTCATCGTCAACCTACCTCGCTCGATTCCACATCTTTGCTAAATTTCTGGGACCCACTCAAAATCGTGTACATCATGGTTGGCGTGGCCATGTGATCACTCTATTTAAAAATCATTTACACAGCCTTGTGCAAAGTATTAGTGATTCTAAAGCTCAGTCTGAAGTAACTGACCCAGAAAATAGTGCTAATTCGTGTTACTCAGAAGACGTCAAGCGTATATTTAAATACATATTCACGTATCCACTACTATCCAGTTCACAGGAAGATTTAATTGATGAAAGCAGCTGGTTATTATCCGCCCTGAACTTGGCTATGTATGTGTTTATGAAGTTCAAATCATACCCTTCACCACTAATATCCTACATTGTAAAGCTTATGACCAATACTTCTGATAGGAAAATAAGTTACTTTAGCGAATTTCTGTGTAATTTAAAGTCATGTTTAGATCAACATATTGTTCAGTATCAAACACGTATTTCTGCACTCCAAACGACCTTGCGCAATACAGGTGATACTACAGAAGCAAAACGTTTAACATCAGAACTTGGCGTTCAAGAAAGTGTCATGCTTCGTTTGCGTCTTTTGGAAATGACTTTCCATCAGACTCAGACGTTATATCTACAATCCAAATCTAACGGTTACATGTAAATGGGGGACTTGTTTTTGTAATGCTCGTTTTGTAAATAAAATTTTATTCCCGTACTCCTTGTTATAATTTTAATCGTTTTATTGGTTTGTAGCTCCACATCTTGATTTTAGGTAGTCATTTTTGTTATTCGAACCAAAGAAACTATGATTGGACGCTTCGTTATTTCTGGAGGACGACAACTGAAGTAAGTTATCTTCATGTGCTATAATTTCTTTTACATTCATGTGCTTAGAATTTCAGTTTTTATCCGTTGGATAATGTGTCAAATAGCTCTTTGTCTATCAACCACAAAGTAAGAAGTCTGTTGCATTAATAATAAGAGCCGATGAGGTTATAGACCATTAAGTGTTTGGTTAAAGTTCAGTCAGTAGGATTTCCAATGTGCTAGTCAGTCAAAAACGAAGCAGAAACTTGTGACAAGCCTCACGCTAACATAGCAAGAGAAAAAAATTGGTGAAATAAAGAGCTAAGGATGAACATACATTTGTCCAGATAAAATTCTCAAGATTTATTAAGATTTAATGCATTTCACATCAAGGTTCTCGATAGCTAATTCTGCACTTATGAAATCATAACAGAATACTTTATATTGAAAATCCTCTTGCCCCATTTACTGTCCATATAGTTAATTCTTTAATATCTCTATGATAGTTTCACCAATAAGTCAAACTTTAAGAACGATGTTTCATTACATAAACATAAATGTGCTCGCATAAATCTATGGTTCTAGTTCAAGAATATGCTGTATACAGTACAAAACTAAAATGATCCTCCACTCGTGAATTATAGTGATATAATCTGTCTGTACCAACTATTTAGTTATTTTCGGTGATAATTTGGCTGAACTTCTGTTTGTATTCAAAGTTGACTCTCACAATATGGTTTATCCACAGCAAACAGTTGCCGTAGTGTAATCACTGTGCCGAGGTGCCGGAAATAGTATATGAGTATTTTCTGTGGCTTGATTTATTTTAAGTGTCTGAGTGATAGCGTCTCGTGCAATGATTAATTCACCTGTGAGTCTGACTTTTCATTTAGAAAGCTTCCTATCACGCCGCTTTCCTATTTCATTCAAGCCACCGTCATAGGCTGAAAGAAAGTAACAATGTGCATTCGAACTTTCTAAGGTATCGTAGTGCCATTTGGTGGTACACTGAAAAGGCTATAAGATGAAAATTTGCTGTCGAATGGCCAAATATCCAAAGAATGGTTCTTACAATTTGAAGTAAATTATCGTTCTTCATAAATGTGTTTCGGTTCCGGAAACGTAGCTCATATCCATGGGATGCGATTCTAAAACTTTGCCGAAGATTGAGCTAGTTATGAAGGATTAAATTAGAATAAGGAGAGGACTTATGAGGTAAGGGAAATATCCGTTGTTAAATTTGACTAGTATCATAGGTCCTTGGACTATAGAGTAGAATAGAATACTAAGTAGCTAACTTAAAAGCATTGCTCATATATTTCGGAACTACCGAATAAGAGATGCCTGGGGTAGCAGTATGTCACTTGGTAAAGATAGAAAGTTTGCGAGGTAGTAAATCTTCATCAGTTGAAGTATTTAGAACATGTGTTACAGATGCTCAACTACCACCTACCTCGATGAGTGATAGTGCGTGGTGTAGTAATAGTAACAGTAGTAGGTTGGAAGAAAGCTATTGACAGCCCAACCAAAACATGTGACCAATTTATGAAGTCAAAGGTAATTAGACTAAGCCATGCTAGCTGGTGTGGATTATCTGATTTAGATTAGAGCGACTATAGTGACGGGCTGTTAGAGGCTTTGATTGACCGCTTAAATCGTTTACAACATTATATATATATATATATATATATATATATATATATATATATATATATACGCACAAAGTTTTGTTTCATAAACCTTTATTTTTGATTGAAATCTGTTTTAATTGTTTAGATTATCTTCGTTTGTCCTGTCTGCAAACAGTAGCTCTAAATACAGAATGATCACTGTAGTATCATCCACTGTCCATGTTCCTTTGCAAAGGTTGTGTCAGTTATGTAAGTTGTTTAAAGTCACACTCTGCTTAATGTTCAAAAAATGCTTTAATTAATAAGTTTTTAAAGTTGACAATTCTTTCAGATCTCAAATTGTTAAGCAGCCAATCCTTTCTATGCGTCGACAACTTCACTTATCTTGGAAGTCTGATCAGCCCTAATGGGTTGGTGTCTGACGAAATCTCAGCACGGATTCGAAAAGCTCGCTTGGCTTTTGCCAACTTACGTCACCTATGGCGAAGGCGGGATATCCGTCTATCAATAAAAGGACGAGTATACTGCGCGGCAGTCCGTTCTGTTTTAATTCACGACAGCGGAACATGGCCATTAAGAGTAGAAGACACTCGTAAGCTACTAGTATTTGACCACAGATACCTTAGGAATATTGCTGGCGTCTGCTGGGATCACCGGGTAAGTAATAGTGAGGTTAGACGCAGGGTATTAGGGAATGATGTTAAATCAGTTGATGAGGTTATGAATCTTCATCGACTGAGATGGTTGGGCCACGTGTTACGTATGCCTGAACACCGATTACCACGACGTGCAATGCTAACCGGTGTTCGGGATGGTTGGAAGAAAGTTAGGGGCGGCCAAACCAAAACGTGGCATCAGTGCTTGAAGTCACTAACTTCTAGTCTGAGCCATGTTGGTAGATGCAGACTACTTGGTTGGGGTCCGCGTGACAATCGTAACCAATGGTTAGAGACTTGGTGACATGGCTCAGAATCGATCACATTGGTGTCGGTGTATACACTCTCTGTCTTCCCTTAAAATCGCTTCATATCTTTCTTTCTACGAACTAATTATTTCTTCTTGTACTATATGCAATCTTTCTTTTATATATTACCACCTCTGAATTAACTACTTTTATGAATCCGGTGTCCATCTTGTTGTGTTAATGAGGTATGGCAACTTGGACCGATGCATATATTTGCCTGGTCCTACATTGTAGCTGACTGACTTTATGTGTTTGAACGTTCGCCAAAATTTAAACAAACAGTTTAACAGAAATTCCGCACAAATTATAAATATGATATTATTTTTCAAATATAAATAATTGCAACCATTTTTAATGAGTTCTTCAGGGGAATAATGAAAATCCTCAACGAAACTGTTGTACGTTTTTTTAAGTTATAGCTTGCGTCTTTGAATTCATACCTAATTTCCAATTAATAGAGACATGTTTAGTTAGTTCATATTTTCTGATGGCTTTGACGCTGCAGTGCAGTTATATCTTATAAAAAATTAGATAATTTTATTCACCTCTAAGACTTAATTTCTAAGAATAAGTAGTTTGTATCCTAAGCATTATAAGTTTGAAACCCACTTTTTCGATTCTAACAACTAACAGCACTAGTCAAATAAATTTGACCAACATACTGCCAATAATATTCATCACTTCTGATCCCCAAAATTCAGTTCAACATACCATGAAGAACATATAAATGCGCAAAAAGAGTAGTTGTGAAAAACTAACAACAAGGTAGCATCCAAAATAGGCAAATATATTGAAAGTATGAAATAATATTGATGGTGTATACCAGGTTTAAAGGGAAATGAGGGTGGTTAATATCCATACTACTTAGAGTGCTTATTCATTGTCAGTTTTTGTTCTACAGAACCAAATTAAAAAATCGACACTTCTTGAAGTCGACAAATTCATATAACAATACCGTATCTTCATTCAACTGCCCCAACTCTTAACTCGCGCTGATATTTTTCGAGCTATCAATTGGCCAGGGCTGATATATATCCTAAGATCTTCATCTCTAATAATTCGATCTTTTAATAGGAATAAGTTTCGATATAAGCTATCCGTAATGCAGTAATTTTTAAATTCGAAATAATTAACACAATCAATTTTCCTTTGTTGTCACTTATTAGTTCACTAAGTAACTGTAAAAGCATATCTGTGGCGATATTAAATAAAGGAAACTGTTCAAAATTGACTAATTCTGCTTAATGTAGCATATATATATATATATATATATATATATATATATATATCACGTGGTGATATCGCTAATTAGAAACATCAACTTATATGACCAGACCAATGACGCATAAACCAGTACCAACAGCTTAGAGTCAACTCTGAGTCCTCACTAGTTCTCTGTAGTTTGATCCAGTGAAGAGGATTCGCTTGGATAATCCGTTTTAATTTATCTTTAAGGGACCTACAAAGGCATAAGATCCCATGATATGCAGTTGGGTATTGTCTTCAGGTCGTTAAATACGGTTTAAGGTGTGTATCGGCAAGTATATTTATCTTTCAACATATCACAGTCGGTAGGTTTGTAGCTGCTAACTTCTACGACCTAATCTGAAGCATTCCTCTTGTTTTCATTTCGATTTTCCTAGGCTCTAGCTAAACGTCAGATGATTATGATTGCTAGTTTTATCATATTAGAACTAGGGGAGTTTCATTCTTATATATCGGTGCTATCAGGAATGAAATCCTGTCGGGTAAAGTTCGACTTCCTTACTGTAGCTTTTGCTTTAATAAATCCAAATAACATTCCTAGACTATAATTAAAAATTTAACGGCCTATTAATTTACGTCAGTCTACGTTACTCATAGCCCTCAGAGCTATAAAGAGTTGAAGATCGGATATCAGTTTCAACAAGTATAGCCAAAATGCAAGTGCACGAGCCGAACAGATTTGTGAATTAATAGTACATAATGAATTGATTATTTGTCTAGATGATTCAGCCTTGAATATTTTGTAACCTTATAAACACTTGTTCTCGTTTTCTGTCTGTTAGGTTTTTTTTAAATATTTTCATACTTCTGCCTTATTCTTTGTTGTAATTAGCAACTTGTTGGTATGACACATTTTTTCAAAATTCCGTATTATTTCGTTCTTATGTATGGACACGAGTGCTATTCATTTATCCACAAGAATCTATTTATTAGGACTGCTCAATAGTGTTTTGTCCTTATAGCTTTCGAATATATCACGTGGTAATATCGCTAATTAGAAACATCAACCTATATGACCAGACCAATGACGCATAAACCAGTACCAACAGCTTAGAGTCAACTCTGAGTCCTCACTAGTTCTCGCCTAGCCCTGCCCGTTTGATTCCAGAACACAATCTCAGCTTCCATTGTATGAATCATGCATTTCAGAAATACGCAGTTTATGTACTAGCGAATCAGACCAGATCATACCATAAAATAGAAAATAACAATTATACGAGGTCTGACCCAAAGTGGCTGAGTGTAAGATACTGTAACGAATATGTTAGGAATAACTTAAGAATAGTAAATCGTATAATAGTAGTCAATATGTCAAATGGAAGCTTAAAATAAAAGGAATATGATTATACATATAACAGTTACTTAGTAATTATATATATATATATATATATATATATATATATATATATATATATATATATATATATATATATATATAATCCATAAATAGGTCCTTGCAGTGACCATTCACTTGTTCTTCGTCCGGATATAACAAATAGGTTTGATTTGAATACTTTTTCTCGTACATTTCTAGCTTCTATCATATTCAGTGATCATAGCAAATTACACGGTACTGAAACCCATCAACTCGTACTAGATTCAAATTTGAAGGCACGTGTTTTGGAATCCACATTGGCCTATGTCCCGAAATATGGTTGGTCACGAGAAGCGGTTGAGGCTTGTTGTCAAGCTGAAGGACTACCTTCAGGATTACATGCCTATGTTGCACCTCAAGGTGGCATTGACATAGTTTTACATTTCTATGCTACACGTAATCAACAGCTGGCTGAAGTCATGCAGCAATGGAGGACAACTAGTGATAGTACAAACAAGAATATTGATATTAAAGAACCAGAGTATGCAATTTTTGTATGTTCGCTTTTATTTAAAGTTCATATGTCCTAATGTGGTTGAGGATTCTGTTAATTTGTTTTCTTGTTAAATAGTGAATTTCTCTAAACTTAAGCTTATTGTTAAATAGCTCTAATAGTTCTTTTCCAATGTTCTGATCGGCGATAATGAAAGTATCATCTATTCCTCTGTGATCACTGAATTATAAACCAAATAAATTGATTGTTTTAATGATTTCGTATATGCACATAAAACTTACTGTATATTAGAGTAAAGCCTAATGAGGATCTAGTCTTAAAAAATTAAGTTGACAGTTCGCAACGTCACTCATCTCAAAATTAATGCCACTAGTGCAAGTGAATTTGCACGTTCTCCGTGAATTGTAGAAAATTTTTTACTCTTTGTATAGTTTTCTTTGTCCGCCTTAATTCTGTGAATTAGTTTTTAATAGTCTTATTTTGTTACTTATATGGTCGGGTTTGAAAAACACATTTAGAGATGCTAATTAATGCTTATATTTTTCAAGACCTACTGTTCTCTCTGTTTGTATGTAGTGTTGGTGTAAACTTGACATTTCTATAAGTTTGGATTTTTTCTGCTCGAAGATAGTTTGTATCATGCATACACATCAACTGAAAAATCATATAAAACTAGGAGGCAATCGGTATCTTTTTCTTCTCAGTTTAAGAAGATTATACTGCTCAGTGGTTTGTTCTGTTCTTATTTATAGTTGTGAAGTATGCTCCCTAAAGATGGAAGATATTTGTACGTTACTAGTGTTTTATCATAGATGTCTAAAAAAACTTCCCGCGGATGTTACAATCACTGTGTAAGCAATGCTGGTGTTAGACAAAGGAAATCGGAGTAGGAATACAAATCGGTTTGTGAAGTAGTGAATTTTCGTAAACCATGCTTCCAACCCCTGCCTACTTCGACCAGGTGTTGTGGGATTAGATTGAAAAAAAACTAGGTACGACCGAACCAATATGTGCCTTAGGTCTTAAAAGTCATTGACTGTTGGACCATACCATATAGGCAGATGCAGGTTACCAGATTGGAATCCGTGCTATCATCGTAACTAATGGTTGGGGATGTTGGTTGACATGGTTCAAAATCGGTCTCGATAACGTTATTTCAGTCCTTATATACTCATACATTTTATTCTCGGAATCAACCTTTTTTTCTCAAATCATATTTTGTATGCATAATCTTTTCTACTACTACTGACACTGTTACTACCTCTATTGTTCTGGCATGTATTAATAATTTCTATCTGTGTGCTGATATTTTGTGACAACTTAAGTCAATCCACTTATTTGTAAGGCTCCATTCTTTCTTGTTACTAACTGATTAAGTTTTAGATTTCTTCAATGAAAATATGAGGATCCAATTTTCGATGTGTATTTTCTAGCCAGCTGTATGTTGGTATACTATATTCATTCAATTCATGTAGATAAACATTTCCTTAATTATTAAAATATAATGCACTAATTAATGTACACCTAGATCAACCATTCAAATTCTAGCACTGACGTAGTATATTCAACCATGATATCAATTATTATTTATTTCAATAGTTGGAGTGCGAGACTGATAGTTGGTGGGTTGGAATCTCGCGGGGCGGGATCGTTGATGCGCACTGCTGAGGAGTCCCGCAGTAGGACGAAACGGTCGTCCGGTGCTTTCAGGTTTCCCATGGTGGTCTAGTTTCAATTGACTTATGATCTCAGTTATTGAAATTACTATAATATCCACAAAAATCCCTTCCGATATTATTTATTTATTTAAGCACATAAACATTGGTACAATGGAGCACCAAATACATATGCTCCACGCAATAACAATGAGGCCAGCAGTAGTTAACATTGATTTGTGTCAGGGTTGTGATACTAGTTGGGTGCCCAAACCAAGAAGGTGGTTTTCTTAGGGGGCCACACTCCGAGTCTTTGACTTAAAGGTCTAATCTACAAGGCAGGGGAGCAACTTTAGAAAATGCAGTACAATGGTAGTCGGCGATCAACAATAGGTTCATACGCCGTTCGTTTCCCCAGGATCATGTAGCCTATGTGCACCATCTGCTTGAGATCGGGATTTCCCAACTCCCCTACGTGGACCCTCCATATCTACCAACCCAGTTAGAGCGCCGAACATTCGCTTTTCGTCCTCTCAATTTCGTAAACAACACCCCCGTTGTGAAAAAGGCAGCGAATAGTACTTCCCTGGCAGTCGCTTCATACTTGTGCCCATGTGAGAGTGTTTCGAGAGGGAGAGCGGACTCTCCCCACCCTCGGCCGTACCAGGACATTTAGGAACTTCTAACCAAATGACTACAGAGTGTAAATGAAGTTCGTCATCATATAATGTATTAGCTAGCACTATGTTAAGCCCACATAACTTATTCTAGCTTTCCGACAGACCAATTTATTAGTTCTTGAGTCACATTCTGACCTTGTCAATTACTTTTTATTAACCTTGACTGTTTTTATGTAAGCGTATGTATATGCATTTCTTATCTTACTCATCACATGTCTGTAACTTATTTTTGTCTGACTATAAATATCGATTCACGCTTGATTAAATGGAGTTGGCTTCTTTGTATTCTCCACCGCGCATTATTTCGTTTCGCTTCGCTCTCTCCGCTCTCTCCGCTTCGTTTCTACGATCATTTGTTTGAACCAAGGACTGTATGAAATACACGTATTCGAAATTTGTTCTCCTATTTGACTTATTTAATTCAGTTATTCACCAACGCGATTTAAGTCGATGATTATATACGAGGATTAGCGACATGTACATTTCAATAACAAGCAGCAAACGATCTACCTGAGGTCAGATTTCGGGCTACCAAAATATTACAAACCTTATGGATAGATCAGTTTGATTCTATATTATTCTTAATTTTCTTGCGGAAGCCATTAATTTCTTAACTTGAAATTTGTATTTGCTCAATCAATAGCGGGTATATGTTGAACCTCAAGTAAACTAAATATTATTTATGTAAAATGTCATCGTCTGTTAGGTCTGTGGTATGTCTATACAAGTAAACTGTAATTGACTCGATTATCTGCACCAATGAACGCTGTTCTGAAAGATTTCCGACATGTTTCGACTATTATTGCATTTGCAAATTATGTACCTAAACTGATTATTTTAAGTTATTTCCCCTTTCTCTCACTTTCCATATACCATTCATTAACTTTGAAAGCGACAATGAAATGATTTTATAGCGAATAGGAAAAAAAGCGATTACTAAAGTATCAATGCGAAGCTTACAGCTTTTAAGGCTTGTAAATAGTTTATTACGTATATATATTTAACACACTAGCCCAAGTTAGCTTTAGGCAATCTAAATAATTAAATTATATGTAATGTAACATTCTAGTTTCATGGATAACATTTTCACTTCCAAATAGAGCTAGATCATCCTTGTATGCGACTCCTCAGCAGTGTGCATCCAAGATCCCGCACGTGGGATTCAAACCCAAGACTTTCGGTCTCGCGCGCGAACGCTTGGTTGAGTTTAGAAATTAACACCGTTTGGATGTCAGCTAAGTGATCTAAGGCCAAATCACTTTAAATGTATGATCACTTATGATAAATTATTATGATTTATACATTAAATTCATGAAATATTATTAATTTTTATCATAAATAAAAATTTATTAATTTGTTTTAATCTTTAGCTTACCTCTATCATCATACCCATCTACGGCCGCTGAAGTAGATCAATTTTTATATCGTTCTTTGGAATATCGACTGAAACTAATTATACCATATTTAAGTGTTTGGCCACAAGCTTTAGGCTTGTTATCTTTACCTACAAATATTCCTTTATCTATTGGTATGCTTGCTCAACTTGTCGATGAAATATGGGCTCAAGCAGGTGATCGTTCAACTGATGTATGTTTTAAAGTTTATATTATTATATCAGTTGTTCAGTATATAATTTTTATGTACTCCTTTAGTGAAATTATTGGTCAGTCATAATCAATGTAAGACCTAGCACCAATATATATATATATGTTATAATCTCTTTCTTCTTACGGTTAATGACCCAGCTATTCCTATTGCTTAGTATTCTCGGACACCGATTCACTCGACAAGTCCCCAAATCAGAACACGGTTGAACAGGAAAGAGATTATATTCCAAATAGCAAGTCAGAAGCCAGTAGGAAGCACAATAGGGGAAAACGTCGGTATATTTATAGTTTTTACATAAGAAGATTCCAGAGTATTCTCCGACTATCGACTAGTGCTGATTGGACAAGAATCAGCCAATCAGCGTGCACCAAAACAGTCATGCATTGAGCATGCTTTAATCTAGTCTATGTCCCGCTAACAATATATAATCCCAAGTTGTTAAACCAAATGAACTGAACGAAATGAAATCAACAGGTGAATAGCAAAATGTCGAAATTACTGTGGTGCCAGTAATTATGAGTCAGTCAGTTAGATAAAACGTAGGACCAGGCACATATATGCATCGGTCCAAGTTACCCCACTTCATTAGCACAACAAGATGAACACCAAATTCATAATAGTTACCTCAATGGTAGTAATATATAAAAAGAAGACTGCGTATAAGAATATATTACAAGAACAAAGAATTAGTTGGTAGAAAGAAAGGTATAAAATAATTTTAATCTGACGGTTTAAGGGAAAGTAAAGAGTGTATACACCGTCGTCCTTGTGATCAATTCTGAGGCATGTCACCCAAAGTTTCCAACCATTGGTTACGAAAGTTACGCGGACCCCATCCAAGTAGTCTGTCTATACAAACATGGTTTGGACTAGAAGTTAATGACTTCAAGGACTAATGCCACGTAATAATGAGAAAGACTAAACATTATGAATATGGTTCAAAAAAATGAAAATAAAACAAAGTATGTTTAAAAGACTACTGTAACTCAAGGTCTATGGGTAGATAAAGAGTGAAGTTGTGGTAAGATTGTTGGAGTGATCCAGAAAATTGCTTGCAAAAGACAAGTAAGCATCAGTAATCACTAGGATGCATTTCGTCCAATCAGCGTTCACTTGAAGTTTTTGCCAAAAATACCAAGGAAGCGAAACGTCACATGTAGAGGTTCTGATTGGCTGATTTTTATGCTGCTACTATGTTTAGTAGCATTCCAGAATCTTCGAGCAACCCAAAAACATCTAAAAATATTATAAAAACCCTGTATTTTGTGTATTAAAATGAACCTTGGAGTAAGCTACTTCTCATATACTTTGAGTCTTCTCTCTCGTGTTCAGGTCGCTGTATAGTTCTAGCTTGGGGGTTACTGAATAGCTTAGGAGACGAATATAGCGTTCAATCCGCAAGACTTAACACAGATACTCATTTCCCTAACATTCACTCATAGATACAATACTTCTTCAACTGATTTTCTTGAGTCATTTAAATAGTATCGCTACTCATTGTACAATAATTGTAATTCAAAGTACAATAAGCGATATCATTTTATCCAAGTTTTTGTACACCTTTTTATTATAACCTCGACTCGGAAAAAAATTATACAAATAGATGACCTATCACTAAACCATTGTAAAAATCATACCTGATGTATCACAGAAGGTATTAACTATTAATAACTCTGAAAATTGATTGTTTAAATCTCAAACTATGTTTTTTGTTTGTTTATTTCATGATTTCAACATTTTATTTAATTAAATAATTTCACTAATCTCTTTATTATTATTATTATTATTATTATTATTATTACTTGATTTATTACAAACTCTATAATAATTTATTAATAGACTTTGAAATTTACATAATTTTGTTCTTATACAATCTGTTGATTACATAACTATCAACCCTCATATCATATTTTTAACTTGATTATATTGAACATTATGAATAGGATATACACGATGATTTCGGAATGAAATGGAATTCTTGTTTTAAAAATTTTAAAGTAACCTTCTATGGGAAATGTTCACAAGTTGATTTACATAAAAAATTGGAATATATATATGTATATATGTTATATCTTAAAGGTTAATTTCTTGATATACCGCGTATAACAGAGCACTAGAACACCAAAACCCTTCCAAGACGCAATAAGAAGACAGAAGACTAATGAAAGAAATATTATTCCAAACAATGTCGATTATAGTACAAAATTGTCAGGTATTTATAGTTTTTAGTAAGAACGAAATCATCATTACAGTCCAGAAATCCGCATGCAGGGGGTTATTAGCATTGTCCAGTCAGGAAGCTACACGTTGGAATTCTAGAATATTCTTCTGAAGGGTGATTGGATGGAACATATTCGGCTCCTTCTGAGCCTCTTACAGCTTCCTCGAGTTCATCCGTGATCCGTCGTCACAATATTCAATGGACTCCAAATAGACCTAGACAATTCACGAGTAATTATGTCACATCCCATCGTATTTACCAATTTACATGTTTTTGCGGACACATATAAATAGGGAGAAGTAATCAAACAATACAACCAAGGTTTATAGAACATATACCTAGATTACTTCAAAATCAAATAATGTCAAATGTTCCAATCAACATGGAAAGTAGAAAATCATGTTCATCCATAGCAAAACACGTAGTTGAAACAGGGCAGAGAATCGATGTCAATACAGCTTTTAAAAGGTTGTATAGAAATTGTTAAGGACTAATTCTCAGGTTCATAGAAGCCTTGAGTACTAGTAAATTTAAACCCGCCTTATGTGTACAGAAATAATTCGTCGTAATCTTGAATTTGCCTTAGTAGTTCTTATGTCATTTTATTGACTAGGATGGTGCAACAACTTTCTGTTCTTTCTATACGATGTTAATTTTCTCTCTTCTTTATTACTTTGTTTACTTGAACCTTCATTTTATTGACTTTTATTACTTGTCATATAAAATGCCTTGACAAGTGTATATGTATGATCAGATAGTTCAAAATATGTAACGCAAATACATTACATTTTTCAGATCAACTCCGTCTTTTGATTGCTCTATCGAAACTTATATAATGAACTAATTGCCTTATATTTTATACGATTATTCGTCAAGATTAGAACGAATAGTTTGACAGAAATTGGGTGCCGAGTATAGAGAAGTCATATGTGAAAATTATATTTGAAATAATCTCAGCGATTGAAATTTAAATAATTCCAACGTTTCGTCCAGCTAACTTGTCTGGACTTCTTCAGGGTAATAATCAGAATCATCAAAGAAATATATAGCTATCAACAATCACATGATTTGTAGTTAACTGACTCATTTTATCCTATTTTGGAAAAATCAACATCCAAATTTGATTTGTTTAACACAGTATAGTTTTGATTGTTAAAAGCTATATATTTCCTTGATGATTTTGATTATTACCCTGAAGAAGTCCAGACAAGCTAGCTGGACGAAACGTTGGAATTATTTAAATTACAATCGCTGAAATTATTTCAAATATAATTTTCACATAAAATTGCCCTATATATATATATGCTCTTTTGAATTATTTTTTATATCATTTGTGTATAAATGATAAATGCTTCATGTATGTTTCAATTCTTTCGGCGAGACTATAATTTATGGACGAAACGATCAGATCTACGATAACAGGTCTGAGGTTTTGGCGCGAAATTCATTCGCCCATTTGACTAAATAGAGTCTCGGCATTGTAGTTGATGTCAGTTCGTTATGGAAACTCTAAATCTAAGTCTTAACCCTGACTATCAACTGTGAATTTTAATCCTTATTCTTTAAAATGCTTTATAACCCTCATTTAGCCCTAGTAAGTGGGTAGACACTCTCAAGGTCACTTTAGCGTCGCCCAAAGGTCGTCCATAGATTATAGTCTCACCATTCTTTCTTCTATATGCTTCATTTTTGGGTTGTTTTTCGTTCTTATTTTTATAAATGTAAGAAAGTCTATGTTAAACACGACACTGTTTTGTGACGAAAGAGTCACCTTTCTTGAGCATATATTACAATTTCCTTTTGAGACAGTCTGTTTTTCGCTTCTTTTTTATTCGATTAATGTGAAATTTGCGCATCATGCATATTCAATTAATGATTAGTCATTTTTCTCATTCAATTACTATGTATCTTATCAAAGTAATAATATATTTCAAAGGTTACTGAGATCATGGCAAAAGAATTTTATCTCTGCTGAATCTGAATCTGAATTACATAATTTTGTATAATAAGTGATTGTATAAATCTATCTAACAAATCTCTCATTTAAAATATAAAATCACATTAAATGTTACAGGTTTTAATTATCGACCATTCTATTCAAGTTACTTATAAGTAGTATATAACGTTTTTATAAATTAATAAATACTTCTTATATATACATATATTGTTCTTTTTGTATCATTAAAAATATATTATCATTTTCTAGATATCATGGTATGCTAAACGTTTGGGTGTTGCTTATGTGTACAATTTAACAGAATTGTATATGTTACAAGATAAATCACCGGAACTTTCAGAATCATGGATATTTTTACGTAAACGAATTGAAGATTTACGATCTATGAAACAGATGAATGTAAGTTGTATGTCATTTTTCTTCTTTTCTTTTGAAAGTTTTCATGTTATTGTAGAATTAAACTTGTAAAGTTTACCATTGATTGTTCAGTGATTCATGATCAATATCGAGTTTATGTAGTCCTTAATGTTGATGAGATCCTGTTTATTAAGTTGTAATGTGACCTTCAGTCTAAGTGATTCAACGTTACATTCATTATAACTCATATGTAAAATGGTTTTGGATAGTAGATGGAAAACTCTAGATATATTTTTAGTGTTATTTAGCACCCGCCAAAATAGTGTACCTGTAATCTTGAGGTAAATGGTTCTCTCGCTATTGATATATTCGAATCGGCATTCAAATGGCTCGACATAAGCATTGAGCTCTACTCACTGATTAGTCAATTGCAAATATCTCAGTGCCACAGGAGGTTGTTCGCATCTTGAATATTCCAGTGGTAATGTTACTGTTTGTAAAGCTGGTGCGATTCGGGATTGAATGTGCTAGTGAGTACCGATTCCTTCAAGATAAACGGTACGCTGTGTAGTATAAAACTTGATTTCAGAATTTCTGCTCAACTACCTCCAACCATCGAACATGGAACCCAAAATAAATGCGTAGTTTCATTTTCGACTCAATAGAATATAAATTAATGGGTACTGATATACAAATCAGAATTCAAATATAGACCCCAGTATATTCAGATAGGTGACTAAGTTTCAGTAGATTCTAAATGATTATTGACTTTTGTTATTGGTTTTACAGGATCGAGCTGATCTAAACCTGTTACCTCATCAATTTTTTGTATGAATATTCTAATATCACCTTCAACCTCTTTCTAATGAATTTTAACGATCATAAGCAGAACTAGATTTTTTCTTATGTGTTATTGGTAAGCTGCATCTCAATAGGTTTCTCTTGCATATTTTTTTCAAAATTAGGATCCACATCGTTGAACTAAGAACCTCACCATTCCGACAGGGAAAATTTCCTTGGTGTAAGTTAGTCGGCGGTAATTGGTAGGAGACTCAAATAACCCGGCAGTAGCACCTGACTTTAAAACCGAGTGAGACTGAATCGAATACTACAGAAAGCGTCAGCTCTCTATAACTTGCTAGTAAACCGTACTGACAAGTCCTAACTAGAAAGAACCCTAATTCCAGGGTTTCCTACCGACTACCTTCAATCATCTTACATCAAAATGTAGTTCTCGTAATGTTGAATTATTAAGACTATTGACTATATTCCAACTTTATCAATGAGGTTCGACCAACACGTATGGATTATGGAATTCATATATCTCATAATCATTTTGTAAATATCCATCGTAATAAAACCCAATGTACTTTGGGTACGTATATCCACCTTATCGTTTTTTCAAAGTAAATTCATCCAAATTGAGACGCAACATTTTTTCAAATATCTTTTTTATTCTTGTGAAATTTTAGTTGAAGGCTGCATCAAGTATGCTTACAAATGGTGTTTTAGCTTTTGGAAATGTTGTAAGTTATCTTAATATTTTGAATTTCCTATCAATTTATAAAACTAATTGAAAAGAGATTTCTTCACTTGATTCGTTCTTTTATAAAATATCAGTCCTAAATATCAACTACATTCCTACTTCCTATTCAAGTTATTGACTTTGTGAACTCGTTAGCTTAACGAATAATTTGTCTGCGTTTAAAGAAGTATTTATTAGGTTATAGTCTCAATGTGAAGATCAACACTAAGATTTCGGTGTATCCAACGCGTCCTGGTTTTCCACTGTCATCCACTATTTATATACTATGCTATTATCTGTGATTATTTATTATAACAAAGGGATTTTCTTTCCGGAAATTAATATTAATGAGTTTTTATACCTGCTACTTAGTCAACAGCCTTAACTATTTGAATAATCTTCCTACTGAATAAGTGCTTAACTTCAATTTATATTGAATGCGGACATGTTTCGTATGTGTACGTCTACTGTTCTTGTCTAATTGAAACAGCCTAATGTTACATTTGGATCAACAGTTCTGCTGGGCTATTTTTTACGATATTATTAATGTTAAACATTAACAATATTTAATGAACACAATGAAAACATTCTAAAGTTTAGAACTTATACAAATTGTCGCAATACATTTTATAGCTAGATGATTTTTCTTTTCATATTAGTCTCACTCGTTGGTAATAATAACGGAATTGAGAGGATGAAATGTGATTTAACCGGGTTAGAAAATCCATCTAGAGCAGATGGAAAATCCTGATTGCAAAACAGTGGTGCACATGGACTCTAGGATCCTGAGGAAACAAAGGGCGTATGAACTTATTGTTGGTCACTGGCTACCATGGGACTGCATCTCTTAACGTTGTTTTACTGCCTTATTTATTAGACTCTAGATCAAGGGTTGAGGGGGCGACCCCTCTAAGGAAACCACCTTCTTCAGTTTGGGCACCCTGATAGTACTCCAGCCGTCATACAACTCGAATGATGAAGTATTGCACGTATATATTTGGTGCTTTGTACCAATATTTACGTATTTAAATGGTAAATAAACAATAACACAATAGCGTTTTTCATTTCACATAATTCTTCTCAATATTCTTGTCTAATAAGCAACCGTTTTTTTTACATATACAAATATAATTTCACAAAATTGATCATTTGTTTGTTTGCTTTGTTTTCTCTTTCCATAGACTTGCAATATTCTCGGATGGAATCGTAACAATTAGAATGAGATGTTTGTTTCTTTTTGTGATAGGAATATTCTCGTTTTTGCTGTTTCTTACTTTTTTTCAAAACAAAAGATAAAAACCAAAACTCTTTCTATTCAATTCTTTTTTCGCTCTTCTATTAGGTTTTGTATTTAAAAGCTTCGTATATAGTGATTATAGTTGTATGCCAATATTATTCATAACGTAATTGTGTGTACATTTTATACTTGTGTTTTATTAATTTATCTTTTATATTCTTTATATAGAAGCAGAAATAAAAACGAAATATACAACTACTAATTGTGGTTTACTTCTTTTATTTACTGAATGTTTTTTTGTTTTTGCATAATATGACGATTTCGATAGAGGTTTGTGGAAATTGATTCATGTCACAGTTTACATTACAGACTGATCTTATTCAGACAATTGGTGAAAATCAGAAAACCCTGATGAGCTATTTCATCCTAGTATTGTGGTGTGTGTTACTAATGTCAATAGATATAGGTAGTATGTATCACCAATGGAAAGTGGAATGTCTAGCGGCAGAAGGTTGAGAAAGTCGAAAAGAAGAGAACGAGAACAGAAAGTGATCAGTATGGAAACGAGAGAACAACAAAATCTGAGACACTTGATGGATCTTCTGCAAATGAAGTACTTACTGTATGATTCTCAGATTTTACCAAGACATTCTGTAATTTTTTATTCAAATACATTTGGTTGTCAGCACTTTTGTCCTCGTTCACAACAGTATCGCGAATTAATTGGTACTGAATTCCCACTCATTGATGTTAAGGCTAAGCACATACGTCTCAAAGTTGTTAGATTCCTAGTGACGTTGTAGATGCCCATTATCTGAGACGTTCGTTACTGGTATGAAACAGCTGTTGAGGGCTACTAATGATTATTTAACTAAAGTTGGTTTATGATTACAATTGTTTATCCATTTTTCTATTTACTTTTAGGCTTCGTTGTTTCATGTGAATGGCATCAGGTTTTCGTAGTACCGTTTGGGATCCAATTCTAATTATCAGTCAAATTGTATTTATGCAATGTATATTTTATATATCTGCCGGTTCCATTTCTGGACTTCTACTAATAATCATTTCACATAATTTACCAACATTGGATATGATTTTTATTGATACGAAAATACATTTCCCCGATTCAATCGGTATATGCCTCTTTATTGGTTTTCTATTAACTCCATTAATATGTAGTATTGGATTATGGTTTATTGTAAAACGCAGTAAACAATGTCTTGATTTTTCATGTACTATACATTTTTGGCATTTTATATTTTGTATTATTTATTCGCATAGTTTCCCTCAATCTATACTTTGGTGGATTGTCAATTTATTATCAATTGCTATAATGACAGTAATGGGTGAATTTTTATGTATGCGAAGTGAAATGGCTGAGATTCCTTTAAGATCTACATACAGTGTTAGTTGATTATATAATCATTATCACATGGTTATTATTTATACTAATTACATTATTTGTGTTTTGATTTTTGCCATTCATATATTTATTAAGATTTTATTTGCTTTATGAGTTATCGTAACTTTATTCGTGATAAATATCTGTATCATTTCCGCCATTTTTAAATTGGTTCAGCTTTACGCCTCTTGTTATCATTGTTATTTTTTAATTAAAGATTGTTTTTATTTGTTTAGTTATGTTGTGTGTCGTTTAATTATCACTTTTTAGGAAAAAGAATTTTCTCTCCAGTATAATCAACCCTCAACTGAATTTGTGACTAAGTTCTGAATTTCGAGATTTTTATTGTTGATCGTTGTTTAGAAATTGAGGTTTTTTCCGAAAAAGTAGTTACATTGTATCGACATTTCTTCAGTTCTTACTGACCCAGTTATCATTTGTTTTATGATAAAAGTATAAATCGTAGCCGAGTCCCTCCAACAGTACACTTTAGTATTACCAACCTAGGGCTGTATAAATTATCCTCCGCATAACATATAAGTGGCTCGGTTCTATGCATTATATGAAAAAAATATTGGCTGAGGTATAGACCGATGACATTCACGCACTAAGCTATTGAGAACTGTTATTATCCAACGGGCAATCACTCATCAACTGACATACGGAATCAGTCATGTTTCGGAAGTTGTTTGGCCAGGCTGTATTAAAATCACGTTTTTCTGAATAACCCTTTAATTTTCTGAAGTTCCAACTGAACCATAATTACTACCACTATCATCGACGGAGTCGATACCATGTTAATCAGAATGACAAGATATCAGCAGAAGTTATTTTGATGCTTTACACTGGATAATGGCTGTTATGGAGAGATTTTGTACACTTTAATTTGATCATTGTGATATACAAGGTATAATTGATATAAGGACAAGTGTGATTGTTTGTAAACTAAGATGAATCGTCTTTTTGATAAAGTGTATATGTGGAAACGACTTGCTTCTGTGATTACTGATGTCCAACTATATCATGGGAAAACACTTTCCCGACTTTTTTATATTCATGTGGTTAAAAATCTAACTTTTATGATATCCATCTATACAATAAGTCGACCTAAAATTTAAAAGAGAAGACTAGGTCGATATGATTAGTCTTATCTACATTATTAAGCTAATTCTGTCAACCTAGTTTAGTCTGGAATGATGTGACCGTAGCATTACATAAGTTACACCTAATTATCTCTTAAAATGGTGATCTATCAACCAGGTTATCTGGTCTCGTTTGGGGATTTAGTTAACGGTTGCTATTATCAATGAAGTAGTTGAATAACTTGAACACACTAACGTTAGTTGTTGCACTAGCCTCATTATAATCCTTTGCATGTATGTCTATCTTTTTATTTGTTAACCATATTGGTCTGTAAATATTTGAGAAACGCTCAATAGGCGATACTCGACGGTTTGTAGTCACTTCAATATAATGCAGATTATAACAGTTTAATGCAGTTCTGGATTTATTCTATTCTAATACAGTTTCTTGATGTTTTATTGTGAATGTCATTTCTAATATACTGCAGTTGCGGATGATTATGGGGCTTGTGCTGATGTAAATCCAATAAAACTACGAAGACGTCTTACTGTGAAATGCATTTATAACTATTATTTTAGTCAAGTTGCGCCCATGCGGTGTTTTGATTTTTTATTACTACTGTATATCCCAGTTTTGATATAAATTTAAAGGATCCCGTCTCGAGTCTTTATTTAATCATTTTACAATGAAAGTAACATCTATGGTCTTTATAAATTTTGATATATTGTTTCACGCTTGGTGATCAGTCTTACGCACATTTTTCGAACATTTTAATAAAAACCGAAAAGGAGCAAAAATATTGACGATATACATATACTTTATCAAAATGATACAAGTCATGAAAACTTCGTTTGCAACGACAAACAAATAACTTACCATAACATCATCTATTATTTGTCAGGCCTTCGGTGATGTGAGAATGAACAGTTGTTGGTAACTTAAGGCACGAAATACCAACCTATGAACAAAAAACATTGCTATCAGTATATAATGTCATTTCACTCAATTTTATGCTGATAGTTTTGAATTTTGATTTTCACCTGCGTACTGTACTTTGAGATTTGTCATGAGCCGCGGGAAGTACAAATTGATAGTTTTCCTAGGTCCCTCGATCAGAGTAGGACTTTAACAGTTGTGGCGTTTCTATGAACTCATAACTCCTGTGTACTCGATGTCTACCTGGTTTTGAATTATGAATATATAAGGCCTTCGTTTGCGCTCACCTAATTCTGTATGGTTGAAATTGGACTATTTGGGAGATTGGTAGTTCGTTTAGTAAACTAAACCCTCCTAACCATCACAACAGTGCAACAGAAAGCACAGGACAAATGATGTTCACCACGAACGTGAGTTACTTGAAATCAATTTGTCTAGTTAGCGGTCAATAATGATTAAAATAACATGGATAGGTATGTAGCGTGGCGTCGAGTCGAGATTAACTATGAACACCGCTACCAAGAAACACGTGCCAAGCGAATCAGAAGGCGTAAGAAGCTCGTTCCAAAAGACTCCATAAAATCCCCGAGAAGCCGAATACCAGAAGACAGTTAATGGACCAAGTCGAGGTTTATTAGCTGGCGATCTCGTGGCATCGAAAGGATACCGAGATCGTGCCAGGATACAACCTTGGTTACAGAACGTAACCGAATTCGCGCGAAGTTACAATCGAAGTGTAAGAATAAGAATGGAAGCACAAAATAGCTGTCATTAGCACAGTCAAACAAAAGCACGTTAAAACAAACACTGGTACAGTTGGTTATAATAATAATTGTTTTTATTAAACCAGTCGTGTTCTCGTGATAAACGTGAGTCACTACAGGTACATCAATTCTGGCCCAGACCCGAATACAACAAAGTTACAGAGTGAAATACACTTTTTTTAGTAGTCGACTGACTGACCGACAGGAAGGTAACACCTAGTTGCTTAGAAGTGAAAGTATGAACATGGATTCTTTAAATATTTCGAAAAATATCTTTATCGTGTGTAATAAGCTATTTGACAAGGAAACGCATCACCTTGATCAGCCACGAATAAAAAATAACCGCGACATTTTCAAATGTCAAATTCAAACCAGCCGCTATGCCCACTTCATCAAGTCTGACTAGATAAATACCTGCTAAAATAAAGTGATATTTCGCATTTATTCGGTGACTAGATTTGTTGTTGGCTGAGGCACGCTCGACGAAGGCAATCAGTTTTTGTAATTCGAGAATTTTCATTCTACCTGGCCCATGTACAGTAATCAAACTGCAGCAGGGTTGATTAGTAAAGGAGTGCATGAGAAAATTCTTTCTATCACACCAAGAGCGAGGACATCAAAGAGTTGTTTTGTATTGTTACGGATGTCATTATTTCACTTATATAATAGAAATATGTTTCGACAAATTTTTAAACAACTCACACGTAAACACTAACGCATATAACATCAATCAACATATGTACAACACAATGATTGGCATGAATTGCTCCCCAGACCAATGGTCAGTACATACGAACGAATGGACACTTGGGACTATACCCTGACATCAAGCAAAATTAAGGAGATCAGAGTACAAGCAAATGCAGTCATATAAAACGTTGTCATGCGGAAAAATAGCAGTTTTATATTTTTTGTATGGTTTAAGAAGGCGTCTTGAAGGAATAATAATGCCATTACCGCTACACTAGAATTGGTCGTTGAACAATCTTGCACGCCTAAAGGTTCATCAGTTTCAACTGT